GTCTTAAAATTTAAATATAAACTAAATCATTTGAAATTAAAAAAAATTATATTTAAAAAATGCTAAACTGTTATTTTAAGAAACAACGCAATAAAATAGAAAAAACTAAAGATTAAAAATTATTTTTCCAAATTGAAAGTTATGTGAAAATCTCCTAGAAAGTGTAAGTCAATAAGAGCCAGTGAATCTTCCAAGAATTTAGCACGCATGCGCTAATTTTCGGTGAGAAAAGAAAAAAACAAAAATACCCAAAGCCACATACACGCACGTTGCCAACCATTTCTACCATTAACTTGTCATCAGACAACTTTCTATTTTCTTTGAATTCTTTGCGCCGCATCTGTTGCTCAGTCGACTATATTTTACTTCTTTATCAACAAAAAAAAAGAATAAACTTACAAGCACATATTCAATTATGCTTTTGGCCTAATTTGTGTTAGTCAACTTAGCAATAACAATAACAATAGCCGAAGAGCGGGCTGCCAGTCGCTTTGGAAACTTTCCTTTCCAAATCAATGCCAAATGGAATTACTTCAGCAGCACACACATACTAGCGGAACAATTACAACAATATTATGAGTGCGACATGCCACAACAATGCTTTGTTATTTTGCGCCATTGTAGGTATTTAAGAATAACGCCGCGGGGTCATTAAATGCCATTGATATGATCTGAAGTCGAAGTAGCGCGGAAATTATAGAGCGAAGGCCAAGTGATTGAGGTTTACACAGTGGTTGATATATAGGAGTGTGTGTGTGTGCATATGAAGCATTATTTTATTTTTAGCAATTGTTATTTATTTATTTCTTTATTTTTTTCTTACTTTTTATTTTTTTATTTCTTTTATTTTTCGAAAATCCAGTTTAAATTGAATGCTGCGAGTTGGAGTTGACTGGTGCCGATTGAGTAGGCAATGCCGGAATTTTTCACTTTCAGATTTTTGATTGCTTGTCGCACTGTATTCTCTACTTATACGCTTATTCCTCCAATCATTTTTTCTACTCTTTATGAGAACAAGTCCCCAGGTTGAAAAATTTTAAATAAAAATTCTAATCAAGTCAGAACCTCCACACTGTGAATCTCTCAATCTCTCTATCGATCTCTCCATTCTACCTTTCTAAATGTAAATAGTGTTTGTGGACATAATGATAGCAATAAAAACTTAACGTCAAAGGGTTTGCACTGATAAAGGTTTAAGACTAAATTGAAGTACCAGTGCATTCTTCGAGAGTTAAGTCTATGTAATCGGGACGGATTCGGATTCTTATCTGGCCAAGCATTGTCGAATCGGCAGAATTTGTCCAAATTACTTCAGGGACGTTTTCTGTCACTACAACAACACTAGCGCAGCTAAAAGGTAAAATCAAAGATAGAGGACTTCTTATGCGCTGCTCTACCAGATGACTCGTTTTTGATTTGATTGAGGCTTATGAATTTCTCAGACTTTTATAAGCGACAATGTCATGGACAACTTTTCACTCCGTGGTAAATCGAAAAAATCTCAATAATGAACCCAAATTTATTTTTGAAACAGTTGTTGCCAACTCTATAGAAAAAATAAATAAAACTCTTCAAATCTTACACTATTATATAATTGCACATATCAAAAATTGTGAACTCAAATTTATAAAAGATAATACCACATTGCAAAAATTATTAACCCAAATTTATAATTAAAAAATGGTTGGCAACTCTATGAATAAAAAAAACAAAAATTCCAATTATTATATTACTATATATTGCACAAATTACGAATAAAAATTAATTTTTGAAAAAAAAATATTTGGAAACTTTATAGAAAAAAAATTAATTACAATTCTCCATAAATTATGAACACAAATTTATTTTAATTAAACTAAATGTTTGGCATCTCTATCGAAAAAACCGTATATCACAAATGCACAGAAATATATTTACAAAAAAAATACTTGGCAACCCTATTGAGAAAAAAAAAATTACCAAAACTCCAAGCATCTCAATTAAATTCAATTTAAGTATTCACAGGAAAGTTAAAAATAAAAGAACTTATCGAGGAATGCAGCTACATATAAATGTATATAAACATGAATACACCTACAAACACGCACACTTACATATTTAAATACATAAATACACGTATACGTACGCCACCATTCACCTACATCAACAGTTTTACAACCAGCGTGATTTCGAATATTACCACACCTCTTTGAACGCCAACAGGTTTCCACTGAAAATTTCATGATTACTTTTATTGTTGTTGTGTTTTCAAAAGAGCTTAAGACATACCCAAATCAACCGAGCATTCTTTTGTTGTTGTTGTTGTTGTATATGTCGGCATGCCATAAATGCCATAGCATTCAAAATCGCATACTTAATGGCTAGCCTAAATCTGCACAGCTGCAACCAAATTGTCAATAAAAATTAAATGTTACTGGCTGGCTTGGTTGCTTGCTGGTGCGCACGTGTGGGTAAAAAATGCTGATGCAAAATTACATATGCATACATACTGTATACAAACATATGCATTTTATATTATGTGCTGTAGTAAAATTATATACCTATATATTTTAGTAAACACTTTTGATCAAAAAAATCTGCAATATCAAGTCCTCTTCTATATTGTTTAATTTTGGGTCTTATATTTCGGAATCCCGATATTTAAATTTTTTTATTCAAACGCTTTGAATGGGTGCTTCACCATCTTTTTCTACATTCCGCAACGTCGGGTTCAAAATTCAATGCTCTCTGACGCCCATTTCTACAATACTTAACTTCGAATTTTACATTTCGGGATGCCGATATTTTTAAGTTTATTTTTTTATTTTTTCAACAAATATGTTCCCAGCGCAAGCGTCCGTTTCTATTTCGAAATTTTGAGATCCCAATTTTTTCATATAGTTATTTTATTTTACATTTTTTGTAATATACCGCAATAAACGTGTAAACTTCTTACATTCCGAAGCTTCGAGTTTGAAATTTCGAGATTCTCATTCTTTCTGGCATTTTTTTTTTTTTTAATTTGTGTTGCATAGCTAATAAAAACTTGTTGTTAAAAACATAAAAATAAAAAAATTTAAGTTCGAAAATTTTCGGGATCCCGAATCTTTTTGATATCAAAATTAATTAGTTAGTTTCAATCTAATTGAGGCAAAACTAGGAAAAGTTTTCATAAATTAGAAAATTTTATGTTCGAAACATTTTCGGAATGCCGATTTTTGTAAACCATAAATGGGAAATAAACGATTTAATTGTTTCGAGAATAAAAAAATCCCTTCATAAATGGGAAAATTTTATGTTCGAAAATTTTTCAGAATACATATTTTCTTTTAATTTCGAAACTAAAAAATAATCCAGAATATAAGGCTTTAAATAGTTACTTTTATAAATTCGAAATGGCAAAATAAACGATCTAGTTGTTTCGAAACAGCTGTTTATAAATTGGTAAATTTTAAGTTCGAAAATGTTTTGAGATGCCGATTTTAGTTAGAAATTGCAAAAATGAAAAAAAATATGTATACTAATTAAAGTTAGTTTAAAATTGTAAATAATCTAATAAAACAATAATATATAAAAAGTTAAGTTCGAAAAATATCGGAGTCCCGGATTTTTATACTAACGAAATTGCGAAATTGATTAGTTAGCTGCCCAAAAGTGAAATTCTTTCATGTCAATTGCTACCGATTTCGAAAGCTTTAAGCTTTAGAACAAGTTGCCAC